TGGAAGTGGGAAGATCCAATAATCCGGGATCCCAGTCTTAGGATCTTTGCACTGCAAGGATTACTTGAGGGTCTGTAGTAGATTTCTATTATTTACGGAAATTCCCAAATCTCAAAGTCATCCTAAACGGGGTGAAACCATGGCATCACTTGGTCTAGATCCGAACCATGTAGGGGAGTATTTCAACCAGACAGTCGATGTTGTGGTTTGGTTTCAGGTAATTTGGGTAGTTTCCGAAAATAGGGGTACCTTATTCGGGGGTCCTTATAATAAGGATCCTCCTATTTGGGGTATTATATTAGGGTCCCTATCTTCGGAAGCTCCCATTTAAACCCCCGTGCGTGCAATTTGCTCTCTACCAAACCACGTCCCAACCCCCAGTCTTGCTGGAACCCTGAACCCTTTAACCCAAGATGCTAAACCCTAGTAGGCCCGAGCAAAGCCTAAGTTGCTTTGTACCGTTTTGGGTTTTCGGATGTAGGGTAGGTGTCTCAGGGATACCGAAACTTAGAATTAACAACTGTCAGGCCATGACTGCCAACATAAGCATCCGCAGAAGACCCCCCTGCAGCCTGAAGAGTCCGGGGTCTAGGGTTCAGGCGTCCTCCTCCCGAAACCCCAAACCTTAAACCCTGACACCCTTTTACACCTGGACTCCGCAACCTTAAACGCTAAATCCCAAACCTTAAACCCTAAACCACAAACCTTAAACCCAGAAAGCTCCAGACTCTCAGAACCTCGGCCCCTCACATGAGCCGGCTCTATGTGGCTATCCACGTCTTGGCGAAACCAGAGCACCTGAGTGGTGGTGTTGTAGCACTTAAGGTTTAGGGCTCAGGGCCCTCGAACCTAAAAACCCTCGTAAGGGTTTAGAGCACGACTCTTTAAATCTTTAAACCCTAAACCCGCAGCTGAGCGGTTCACGGCTCCAAGGCGGGTTTGACAGTTGAAATCAAATGCCAATATGACAAGCAACAATACTACGTGAAGTGTCGTACTGACTGCAAAGATACGGTCAAACTTAATAAGATGATGGTTAAAACAACTCGATTGTGCCAGGCTCCAACCCTTTCTCGTCATGCCATAGGAAAGCGCCATAAACTCTAAACACTAAGCCACTTGAAGCGCTTGGGTTCAGTGCTGGTGGCTGAGACAGAGACGATTATAGCCGCAAGGCGAGGCTTTGGCGGCCCCGTACGGTTTCGGGTTGAGGTTGAGGGATACGGGGCTTCTTCTTTAAACTCTCGCTCTGCAGCCTGCTTTCCAAATCATGCACCGGCCCCCAAAAACTCCAACCCCACGCCCACAAACCCTCAATCTCTAAATCGAAACCCTAACCGTCCGAATTGGACCAAGGTCCGGGCCTTTGGCTTCTGCTGCGTTGCTCTCAAGGCCTCGGTCTGTCTTGTGCAGGGAGGAAAAGCTAAGGGTTTTGGGGGTTTTGGCAGTGGGGAAAAGGCCCATTGACATAGCCAGAAGGTTGCTGCCTGTGTACAGGGCCCAACCCTTTTTCAGCACGGACTGAGGTGCCGGCCAGCGCGCAACCCTAAACCCTAAACCCTAAAATTAAAACCATAGCGAAGCAAAGTGACTGAGGAGAGTCAAGGCCCTAGACTTAACTCCTAAAGCACTAAACCCTCAACGTACCAGTCTGACCCTACAAGTAATACCCTCAACCAGGGCGTTAGAGCCTTCAAGAGGCTTCCGCGGCTTTAGGGCGTCGCTTGACTGAGGGTCTTCGGGTGTCGATTTGATTCCGGAGACGCGTCTCCTGTCTTGCATCCTTCCGTGCAAAACAGTGAGACTCATGACAGCAATAATTAGTATTTAGAGGTATTATTAGTTTATTTGGATAATATGGTAATATAAGAACTAATTAAAACATTCAATAATGAGTGTAGTAACAATAAACAATAGTGATGGTAACGATCATAACCATCGTCATGTTTGCAATAAGCTGAGGCAACGCAGGGACCAAAGTCATAGGTCTGAAGCCCACCGGCAATCCTAAAATGCGAAGGCCAGCACCAAGGCTCAACCGATAAGAAAACTTTGGACTGCGAGGGACGCCGAACTCGCGTGACTTAACTTCATAGTTGGGGGGCGCGACCTACAGCCCAAAACCCGCCTTGGCTCTTGGGTTTCAGTGTGTGTCTAGGGTTTGGGGTTCGGGGTATGAGGTCTAGGGTTGTTGCTGTGTGCAAGCTACGCGATGTAAGTTCAAGAAGCTGATAGAACTGATGTGAACTCACATGAGCTCACTCAAGGAAGCCTCTACACTTACAGCTTTCTAGCTAAACATGCTACAAAGTCGTTGCAACAGGCTCTTTCAAAACAAGAAAGCGCTACGGAAAACACACAGCAGCCGCTCAAGCCCACACTAGACTTAGAACATCTTACAATGCCCATGAAGCCCTGCCCACTAGCGGCGACATCGTACAAAGCATCTACCAGACCTGAACTGAGGCTCTACGAAGAGGTTGTAGAACCTGGGACACCCTGAATCAATTTTCAAAAAGCCAATAAGAAATCCCGAAAGCATTGAAGGATCCGCTGAACAAAGCAACATGGTGGGAACGTGTGGCCAGCTCTGGTGCCCCGACACCGCACTGAGGCAGCCCATGTCATCCTCCTCCAGCTGCTTCTGCACCAGGGCCTCTGCCGGAAATGACCGGTTCTAAAAGTGGGAGTTTCCGAAAAATAGGGGTACCTTTATTGGGGGTCCTTATAATAAGGATCCTACCATTTCACGGTACTATATTAGGGTCCCCTATTTTCGGAAACTCCCAATTAGAGGGCTCGGAAAGGCTTACAGGGATGTTCTCGGGCGTTTACAAGGGCGCGACTTGCAATCGGGTGGCTTTTCCGTGTCGCGTCATAAAAGCTTCACATTAAATTCTACTCATTGGGTTAGTTTCCACTATGGGCTATTCGACCCTAAAGATCCCTATTAGGACCCTATTAAGGGTAGATTAAGGTACCCATAAGGTCTAATAGCCCATAGTGGTTAGGAAGTTTAGGATAGTTGGCTTAGCCTCCCTCTGCTACTGCATCGGGGCCTCCTAATCCCAAAACCAAACTCGTGGGAGAGTTTGGGCCCTAAGCCCTAAACCTTAAACCGATAGTTTGGGGTGTTGGTACTGGAATTTGCGGACTGGCGGGCATCCTAATAAGGAGCCCAAAAAAGGTAGGTTCTTCAGGGCTAAAGTAAACCCTAGAAGCAAAACCAAGCCCCAACCCGCAGCCTTCTAAGTGCTTCCTTCTTGGGTAGCATGATGAGGGAGACCCCTTAAAGGGTATCCCTTCCGAACCCTACTTCTGGCTCTCTTCGGGTCTATATACCCGAGGGTCCCCCTAATCCTAACTCCCAGTTCTGCGCAGGCACCTGGACTTTCGAATTGTACCCCTGGCGATCCCTGGCGGTGGCTGGGAAAGACAGCCTATGGGACTGTTTAGTGAAGGCTTTGGGGATGGTAGGGTTCAAGGGTCTGGTGATTTTTGATGGTTCTGGGTGCTGATCAAAGTAATACGAGCAAGTGTACTGAAGGCGCATATCCAGCACACTCGCAAAATGCGAACCCAAGCACAGCAGCAGCGAATACGCGGTCTAATACCGTCAGATTAGCGTAGGAGCAATCAAACATCCAATAGAAGGAACAGCAAGAATGGTAACGCCACATCAAATACAACGACTTACAAGACCATCAGCCACAGCAGCATGCAGCACAAACCCCAAACGATTGGAAGGTTGAGCATGACAACAACTGCGGGAGATAGTCGCACTCATAGAACCCAATCTAACGGCAGCACCAGTACTGGCCAACATCGGCAATCTCTATACTTAGGGCTTACAGTCAGATTTAGCTTAGCGTATGACGTCTGCCAGCTCGTGGTGCCAGTACGGATGGGCTTAGGGCTGCAGAGCGTCGTGCTTAGGGGCTTAGGGGATCTACGCGGTTTCTGTTCGGGCCAAGGACCAACTCGGGAGAGATTCCACAGAGCCCAGCCGAAGTTGGATTCGCACGTTTCCAAGGGTAAAAGGACGGACCCTTAATAAGGACCCCTAGGTATATACCCTTAATATAGCTATGATATACCCATTATATAGCCCCATTATAGGGTAGGGGTCCCCAGTAAGGGTCCCTCCTCTTCCCCTTTGAATGTTTGACGGGCAGAGGGCCTCTTTAGGGCTGAAGGGAAAACCTGCTCAAAACATGTCGATCGAAGCTTACTGGCACCCACACCCTTTTACACCTTAAACCCCCTTAGACCCTAAACTCTAACCCCCAAAACCCTAAACCCTAAGCCCTAAACCTTAAACCCCCTTAACAAACCCTAAACCTTAACCTTAAACCCCCTTAACAAACCCTAAACCCTTAACCTTAAACACCCTTAACAAACCCTAAACCCTTAACCTTAAACCCCCTTAACAAACCCTAAACCTTAACCTTAAACCCCCTTAACAAACCCTAAACCCTTAACCTTAAACACCCTTAACAAACCCTAAACCCTTAACCTTAAACCCCCTTAACAAACCCTAAACCCTTAACCTTAAACCCCCTTAACAAACCCTAAACCCTTAACCTTAAACCCCCTTAACAAACCCTAAACCTTAAACCCCCTTAACAAACCCTAAACCCTAAACCTTAAACCCCCTTAACAAACCCTAAACCCTTAACCTTAAACACCCTTAACAAACCCTAAACCCTTAACCTTAAACCCCCTTAACAAACCCTAAACCCTAAACCTTAAACCCCCTTAACAAACCCTAAACCCTTAACCTTAAACCCCCTTAACAAACCCTAAACCCTAAACCTTAAACCCCCTTAGCAATTTCTAAAAACCCTGGGCCTCACAAAGAGCGATTCGGCATCAGGGTTGGCTCCCCCTTCCGGAGTCGCCTGAGATCAATTTAGGGTTTAGGGTTTAGGTGTTAGGGTTTAGGTTTTTAGGTTTTAGGGTTTAATGTCGACTTGTGGAACCCTCAAGGCTCTTTGCAGTTAGAGCTTATAGGGTCTAGGAATCCCGTTTAAGATCTTTGTTAGGATTACGGTTTGGGGTTTAGGAGCTCAGGGCTTAGGAGCTTAGGGTTGCTGTTTCGGAGTTTAGGGTTTCGGGCTCAGGAGTCCGCAGGTTTTAAAGGTTTGTCCTTGCGAAGCCCTTTCAGAAAGAACCGTGCGCTTCAAGCTAGTCTGAGTTTTCGGTGAACAGGTCTCTAAACTCCGAAATCAAAATCCTAACTGAACCGAAAAAGGTATGCGCGCCTCAATCGCCAAACCTAGGTCAATGTTTGGCTTGAGCATGTGCTGGGGGAGTCTACGGTGTTGTAAGGGGTTTGAGCCCCAGGGCTTGGAGCGAGGGCTCAATGAGTCGGTTTAGGGTTTCAGGCTTAATTTGCACCGGCTTGTGTGAATCCCGCCTGGATGTGTCGCACCTGTTCTCCAAGGCCCCAAGGCCAGCTCTTCAAGGGCTTGACTTGTACGATCCTTCGCATCATCCCAATTCAAGGGTTCCGTACTTGCAACTAGCCAGCATCCTTCAACCCTAAACCGTAAGAGCATGACGCCGCAGAAACACGGAACCCAAAAGCCTCACTCGTGAATCCCTGTGAAGCTTTTGCTCAAAAAACTCTATACAGTAGCCACGAACCCGTGAAGCTGTCTAACATCCAGGTCGGAATACGCAGTACTTACTAGTATTCCCCACTCCCTTCTAGTCCCCTTCCGATTCTTTCGACTGCAACATACCCGACAACCCAATTCTAATTGTTACGGCCTCTACGCTTACACAGCCCTTAACAGGCTTTCCACCTACACAGCCGTAAAACCTAAACCCTGAACCCTAATTGGTACAGCTGGGGCCCGCCGCATGTGTGTCCGGATCGGCAAGCAGCGACTGGATGGCCACAAGGATGGTGCACACCTCTTCTGTTTGGGGTTTTAGGGTTTTAGGGTTTAGGGTTGGGAGGTCCCTATCAAGCTGTGTGCGTGTGAGAAGGGTTTTGACGGGCTTAAACCATGGCATTTCTTATGGGCTTTCTAAGGCTCCCGCTTTGATTTTCCTAGGCTTGGTTGTTGGGGTTTGCGGGCTTTGGGTTTTTCTTTCAGCTTCTGTTTCAGGGTTTTAGCACTCACCGTATCTTCATCAGATAGCCGGACAAGCGCATCTGGGAGTTTCCGAAAGTAAGGGATCCTAATATAGTACCCCAAATAGCAGGCCCTTTTTATAAGGACCCCAGAATAAGGTACCCCCTAATTTTTGGAAACTCCCATCTGCAGTCTTGTTGGAGGCGGCTGAGCCCAGCAGCTCAGGGAAACCTTACTCTGCTCCCCAGCCTCCTCAACCCTCAACCCCCAATCCCTGGTTCAACATAACCGTACATATATAACCTTCCTTAAAAGCTTAGGGAAAGCTCCCTAACCCTAAACCCTTTTTGCATCCAGGCCTATTACAAGGCATTAACCCTAAACCCTCTCTCTCTCTCTCTCTCTCTCTCTCTCTCTCTCTCTCACAGGCACTCGAAGCGACAGGCCTGGTCGAAGGGCAACCCTAAACCCCAAATCCCTGGCTCATTGGCCGTCGATGCTTCGTCTAAGCTCGTCGCATCGTAGGCCGGGGACCACCCGGAGGCCTTCAGCAGGTCTAGGCCTGGAAAGTCGGGGTGTTCCTTTTTAAGGGGTTTCGGGTTTCGGTTTAGGGTTTAGGATGTTTTTTTTTTACCTCTCGCATAGCTTGGAAGTTTATGCCCGCTCGCGAGGTCTGGATGTAAGGCACGCAGCAGGCAAGGCTCCACATAGGATGGTTTAGGGTTTGGGGTTCAGGGACAAGGGTTTAGGGGTTCCTTTTTGTTTTACAGCCCTCTTTTCCATCTGCCCAAAGGTTAGCTGAAATGCCACATGTGGCGAGGGGCGGTTCGGGGAGCCTTTCAGGGGGATTCCCACCTCACCACTTAGCTTCCGAGTTTGGGGTTTAGCGGTTTGGGCTTTTGGGGGGTGCTCAACGAGCCGTCAGGGCATAGGGTTCAGGGCTTGGGGCCCAAAAGGTTTCGGTGGTTCGCTGGGGCTTTGGGTGTCCGCTCAGGGCATTGGGGTTCAGGGCTTGGGGCACAAATGTTTTAGATTACCAGCTGAAATCGCTGCTAGTCAGCTAGTCTCGCATTCTGGTGAAACAGGCGGCGACACTGCTCCAACGACCGGCCGAATTTAAACGCCCAACACCCCAATTGAGGGGCTCTGCCGTGTGTTGACAGGGCAATGCTCTAGAACTTGATTTGGGAGGGATTCGGGCTCTGATGCCCTTCGCGATTCCGATAAAATCCTACGTCTCATACCTTAAACTCCACAAACCTAAATTTTTACGAATAAACTGAAGAGACTCCGTATACTTAAGCTCTAATAACAAGGAATTTGTACAGGATCCTTGTACCTAAACTCGAATACTAAGGATCCTTATACCTATAAGCTCTAATAGTAAGACCTAAACCTCAACATGGCCATGGCAGATGCTAGGGCCTCAGCAATGAGGCCTTGGGTACGGCCCCCACTTAGCAATAGTTGAATCATATTCATAGAATTGACATGTTAGGACCGAAATAGTAGCCCTATTGTAGACTTTTACTGTATGCCAGTCGACCGAAGCACATCCGGCTGTCGGTTTAGAGTCTACGTGCAAGGGCCCTGACCTATGGAGGTCCCACAAGATTTGTGTAGGGTGTGAAACTTGGCGATGCAACTTCTGCTTCTCTGAGTTTACGCATATAGACATGACTGCTTCATTGAAAAACGAGGCTTCTCGACCCTAACCACCGTGGTTCGGCATTCGAGAGCCTGCCTTGCTTGTGTAGGATGATGATGATGATGATGACGACTGTGATGGTGATGTTGGTGATGATGATGTGGGTGATAATGATGATTATGATGTTAGTGAGGATGATGATGATGTTGGTGAAGAGGATGATAATGGTGATACTGATGATGCTAGTGGTGATGATGCGGGGGCAATCACTCCGTCAATGTCCTCCCATTGCTCTGAAGACTCTGGAACTTTGCTGCTTGATCTGTGGTGCTTGCTCCCGGTGCTAATGTTGTTCTGACTGTTCGGACGGATCACTCTGAGCACTGTGACTGTGAATGGTGCGTTGCAGGAGCTGCTCGAACAGATGCCTGGAATATGTGATGAAACATGCGGCTGTCTTCATGGTGATCCGTTTGCAATTGCTTTTGGTTAAGTTGAATCTGAATTCCAAACCCGAAGTGGCAGGCACGCAGGGCTCCAAGTGCGGGGCAGATCTGACCGTCTGGGAAAACGTTGGGATGAAAGACCTGACAACATGGAGCGATCAGGCGTCTCGGCCTGCAATTCAAGTGATACCACAGAACTAGTTCATAGTTGGGATAGGATTAAAAATCTAAACTTTCCCTTATTGGGTTTAAGTACCCATAAAAATACCGTTACCCAACTATGACAAAGAGAAACCACCCTTCCTTCACGCTTGAATTTCATGCTGCAAGTCGAGCAGCTCCAGAAGGCAATCGTCCAACCGCTTCTCAATCGAAAGCTCCGGGCCCCAACCTCTCCCTCCTACGGCTGCCATTCGCTGCATTTAGGACAAGCGATATATCGATAGTTCTCGAAATCAGGGTTCGTCTTAGGGTCCGTTTAATGAGAGTGCCGCACTATTTGGTGATCTGGAAAGAGACGCTGACCCCGAACGCCATGCCTCCGTCTGGAAACGCACATCTGGGGGCTTCTGTGGATACTCTGGCCTGGACGTTGCAGGACATGGCAAGGTCTAGCGTCTTAGGGTTTAGGGTTAGGGAGGTTCCAGGAAATTGGCAAGGTTTAGGGTCTTAGGCTTGAGGGTCTATGGTTATAGCAGGGTTTGCAGTGTATGGCTTATGAAGTTTTGGGTTCAAGGATGCAAGTGTCGGCTGGTGTTGATGCTCCACGCTTGTTGTCAGACCGAAGCCACAAGCTTCAAAATATTGCAAGGCTCAGGGCTTCGCTTGATCGTCCACACCACCCAGGACAACAAGGTTTAGGGTTTAGGGGCACTCTCGAAACTGGCAGAATGCAAGAGCGAATTCACGACATGTCTCAGCAGCCTCAACCCGCAACCTTTTTGAACCCGTGCTGACACCAAGGCTTACGACGAGAAAGATATGTGCATAACGCAGCTTTCTTCCATAGCAAACCACACTGCAAACACCATCAGATTAAAGGGAAAACGCACATGCACTCCATGTTAGAGGAACCTGCGAGAACACCAGCATTACCGCTGTGTTTTGATAAAAAATACAAATGAGATTGGGGAGCTGTGGCAGCACAACATCCAAGGCGTCTGGATCGCACAGTACATCAATCGCCAAGACTAGTCGTAGCATAACGAACTTGCAGAAGCAATCGTACAAATCAGCACTAAAATAATCCTGCACTCCCTCTTCCTTGCATATCCAGCGAAGATGAAATCCGTCATGGTGCAGTTGTAGATAGCAACACCGATACCAGTTGAGAGATACCCGGAGTGGATCCCTCCATGATGCCCACACCGGTGCATGAACAATTGCAGATTCTGTTTGCCGTTGCGCTTCAACCGAGGATGCTGCTGACTTCAACCCGCAACCTGACACTCGAAAACCCTGAACCTCGAGACACTAAACCAACACGAGCGAGCCCAAGTGCCGAAGTAAGCTGGCATACCATCGTATGCCAATTCCGAACCCAGTCGGGTTGATGTTGAGTGTTTAGGGATTTAGGTGAAGACTACTCCACATGGGATTCTGAGGCGTTAACAACTCACAGATGTATGCAACCTCATGCATTGCAAGGTCGAGAAGGGAGTGGAGCGACACATTGAACCCTCCACCTTCGGGTTCCTATATGAGATCTGAGAGAACTCTATGTAATGGTTGAGAGGGTTGCTACGGAAGACTCTGAAGATAGCGAGGGGCAAAACAAGCCAACGGGAATTTAAGGCGCGTCGACCTACCATGAGGGCTGCAAGCGGGTAGGATTCTACATAAAGGTCCTATATGGGGTTACTAGACGGGCTCTGTTTATTGACAAGATTCCTCTACATAGAGCATGCATATGTAGAACTGTGATGGAAGAGCAGGGCCACTGCAAGCCCAGACGAGCGTTAGACCGAAGGTTGGCAAGGTCATAGAGGGTCTCAGTGATCAGAATCGGGAATACTACTACTAGTTGTTCTGACCCATTAGAAGACATAGGGTCAGGTGTAGGGCCGGTAATTACACTAAAAGCTTCAGAATTTAATTCAAGGTCGCACGTACTCAGGGTGTTGTATGGTTCAAGCATTGAAGGACTATGAGGGAATCATGCTATATGACTATTCACTCACAAGCCCTGAAACCCTCCCAAACGCCATCCTAATCTCCAACTTCGATTCTTGGCACCCAGCGAGAAGGACAGGTCCAGCTTCCACCTCAGGCCAGCCAAAGTGGAACCGTTTAACACTTTAGGCAGGTAGTAAAAATACGGGAACCTCACTCAAACAGGGTGTAAGTGCGTTATGCAAACACACCGAAACCATAAATCCCGAAACATCCCTAAACCCCTTAACTGGGCCCTGAATTCTCAAGACCCCCAAACCCGAAACTCTGAACCCCGAAACCAGATCAGGATGCTCGGTTTACTATTGCTGTCTGATTTGGATAGCGGATTCGGATTCAGGCTGAGCAAGGGGCGGGTAATTTAGGGCTTAGGGTCTAGGGGTTTAGGGTTGAGGGTTTAGGATTTGCATAGCTTGGAGGGTCGGGGGACTTGGTAATCGGTTATTTTAGGGACTTATAAGTACCATAACCCCAATTAGGGTCCCTTTTAGGGTACTTATAAGTCTACTTACTACCTACTTACTAAGTCCCCCGACCCTCCAAGAGGGGATTCGGATTCAGACTGAGCGAGGCGCGGGTATATAATTTGTTCAAGCCGAGACCTTGTGAAACAAACTTGCCCGTCGGAAATAGGGACCCTAAGATAGTACCCTAAATAGTAGGATCCTTATTATAAGGACCCCAAAATAAGGTACCCCTAACCCAATAGGTGGAGAGCTCTAAAGATCAGGAGTTGAATGGCAAAGCTTCAGGTGCCAATCGTGTGTACTTAGACCCTTCTAAAGGGAAGCAGGCACGTAAAAAACCTTGTAGTTTCCTGCCTGCCCAGGAGCATCTATGGGAAAATCATATGACTTTACCCAGACCTCATCCGTTCCCCAGAGGAGCCGTGGACCAAAACCACAATAACGTGCACCCAGACCTCATCCGTCTCCCAGAGCATCCATGGGTCAACCATGATAACGTCCACCTAGACCTCATTCTTTCCATCCGTGGATATCCATGGGTCAACCGTGACGTTATCCCACCCATGCCTCATCCTTTCCCCAGAGCATCCATGGGTCAATCGTCATGTTATCGCATCCAGGCCTCACGCGTTGACCTCGCCGTTTCCAGTCCCATATCCGTTCCCCTTAACATCTGTAGATCAAGGTCAACTATGACAACTATGACAACGTCCGCGCGGATCTCGTCCTTTCCTCAGAGCATCCATTCGCCAACTGTGATATCGGCCACCCCGACCTCTTCCGCTCAAAACATCTCAAAACGCCAACGGCGAGTCCCGAACACCAAGTGCCCAAAGCCCGAGCGAACAGCATCTCGCATGCACTAAGTCTCCAGGTTTTTGCGTGCCTGCGACCTCCTGAAAGCCTACCCCTGCAAGACTTCCCAAGGCGACTCTAAAATATCCAAAAAAATTGGGCTTGGGGCCGAAATCTTGCGAATCGCTGCGCAGCGAAGATCCTAGTCAAAAACACATTATTCAGCTTGCCACTAAAAGCATTCTCGTAAGAAAGATCCGCGCAAACGCAACACGGTCGCTTCCCAAAGGAACCCCTGAAAGGAACCCTTTTAGTAACCTTTAAAGTAATCCCATGAGCTCTAGATTCCCCGAAAACCCTCAAAGGGACCCAATGCCCTAAACCCTAAACCCAAGGCAGGACAAGTTCGCCAGGGCTCCCCGCACTCCGCCTTCCCATGCGGTGCCTAAGGTGCAAAGAACTAATAGAATTAGGGCCTTAATAATCAGACTAAGGTTCCTTTAAAGGGCTCCTCTAAGGGATACTATAATTGGATACTGTAAGGGTTTAGTATAGGGCCAGTATATTTGTGGCAGAATGGGCCCCAAAACCCTATTCGAAGTTTCCGGGCTTCGCACTGAACAACCTCACACAGTTGGAAGACGGGTTTTGGACGAACGCAACTTGCCTCTGCTGTAAGCCGGCTTGAGTGCTGAGATGCAGGGATTTAAGGTTGCAGTTGAGGGTAGGGCAACTACAGGTTGCGGTGAATGGTCTGCTCTTCATTGTCACCGAACGAAACCAAACCCGAAACTCCAAACCCACAACTTCGTCTGAGTGTAATCCACACCTCCCTCCAGAAAGTTGGTCTGCCCGTGCACCTGATACAACCCCTTACACCGAAAAAAATCCAAACCCCGACACAACCCCCATCCTGACTCCATCTTCTCACTTTCCAATGCTTACTGTCGAAGCCGAGAGCTTCAGTCCCTCTACCCATAAATCCTAATCTGTGGCAGTCTTAGTATCATGCACCATTGTAGGTCTTTTTGGGCTTCTTTATTTTCTGTAAAGAATTGTTTTGGCCGGGCCCCCTTCTGCTAATGGTCCATCTGAGGCACCACCCTCAATCCTGAAGCTCCATAACCCTAACCCCCCCACCCAACCAAAACCCAAACCTGTGAAAGGAACCCTCGACACCGAACCCTGAATCCCAAGCCCCTAAGCCTAAAACTCCATAATGAATCATCATACCCATCTCAACCCTGAAAGGAACCCTTAATCAACCCAAATCCGCAGCCCTAAAACCCTGCATGGTACTCTGAGTTAGTCAAACGCACGCAGATTCCAAACCAAGGTCACCGGGTCAAGGGGGTCAAGGGGGTCACGAGCAACATGTTGGTCAAGCCATCCCCGAATGCTCGGGCAAGAGGCGGTGGGGGGCACTAAAGACAGTCATGCACTAGTTCCTACATCCTAATGCCTAAACACCTTTTATGGTCTATGGTCCTACCCCTAATCCCTAAACAATCCTAACGCCTAAAAGCCGTCGCCCTAAAGCCGCCGTGAACCCTACCTAAACTGCCATGCCCTACATGCCCCTACATCCCTGTCGGTTCTTTTTTGATCATAATAATTACAATGGGGTCCGGGGGTATGTTCTACGGTAATAACAAGAAGGAACCCCCAAAACCTTCTTCTAAAGTCTAAAGCCTGACATCGAAATTTGGGAACCCTACGAAACCAGCAGTACGTGTAGGGAGTACATGGTGCTTAGAAACTGGGATCCTCAGAGTAAAGGCTCAGGGTTGACTCAAAAGTAGTCTTTGGAAGGTTCCCTTCTCAACTCGAATATATTTTTTGTGGACACACCTTTCACTGTGGCCCCCGAACCGGACGGACCGAAGATGATCGCACTCCACTTGAAGAGGTCGTCACCGACCTGGTTCTTCGATTTCGGTGGTTTCGGGTTTAGGGCTCCGGGATAAGCTAGGAACTGATTAAGAACCAAGAAACCCTGGGCCCATAACCCCAAAATAGTCAAAATAGTAGGTTCATATAAGGACCCTAATAAAGGTCCAAGGTTTCTTGATCAGGTTCCTACATTACGGGTCTAGGTTTCAGCGCTCGCAACTGGGGGTTTCTCGAATCCGGAGCTAGGTCCCTAAACCCTGCTCTTGCCAGTGTCTAGGGTCTCCACTCGCTGAACAGGCTGAACACTAAATAGGAGTTTCCGAAAATAGGGGACCCCAATATAGTACCCTAAATACTAGGATCCTTATTATAAGGACCCCCAAAATAAGTAAGGTACCCCTAGTTTTCGGAAACTCCCAAGTCCCTTCATGGAGTCCGCGCACTAAGACTTGCAGGAAGCTTCCGATGGCTTCAGTGTCCGTTTCGGCTTTAGGCGCCTTTTGGTTCTTTCTTCGGTGTGTTTGGGTTGGAAAGGAATAACCAGCATCCCCAATGTAAGCCCTGCGATGTGGGCAAGTGCACCTGGAGAGCTTGGCATTTCGGACGCATACAATGCGCGGACATGCTGGAGTTTGAGAAAACAAGGAACGCCCTCATTGACCCCAGGAAATGGCCAGAAGCAACATGGACCACAAAAATAGACCATTAGGGTTGAGAACCCGGTGTTTCAATATTATAGCAAAATGAAAATGCCCCCGAAGGAGCCCGACCTGACTATGTCACAATGTAGTATGAGCAACCAATTTGAAGCTCAACATGCCCTGGGGAAAAATACTTACCCTATAAAGTTGGTTTCTTGACTCCCACTATGGGCTATTCGACCCTAAAGATCCCTATTAGGACCCTATTAAGGGTAGATTAAGGTACCCATAAGGTCTAATAGCCCATAGTGGTCGGTCCTTTTCTGTCACTGTTCAAAGTTGCTCAACCCATGGGCCTATAAGCCCAGTCCCAAAGCTCGAAGCGTAAACCCTGACACCCTAGACTCCTAAACTCATTTACCTCTTAGAATCGAAGAGGTCATTAAGGGGCACTTGAGGGGTCCTAGGAAGCCATAAATCTTGCCAGCCCTACACCCTCGCTCGTTTTTTTCTGCTTCATCCCCTCGACTGTCGGACCCCTGCCGCAATCCTGGGCGCCCCACAGGTGCTGCCGAGACCCCGGTCGGTGCATCGGCCGTCACCTGTGGATGGCACGTGGCTTCCCCCTAATCCTACAGTCAACCCCATAAAGTTGGAAACCGGATTAGGGCCAATTAGTGCTGGGATTCCCTAGGATAGAGGCTATTGGGCTTCCAACTTTTAGGCTTCTAGTGTAACTCCCAAGAAGACTTGGCAGGTCGAAGAGGAGAAGAAGAGATGGGAGGAAACACAGGCGAAGTGACTTGAGGATTTAGGGCTCAGGCGGCTCAGGGCTTGGAGTTTGAGGATGAGGGCTGTACCTTACTCTCTCCAAGAAGATTAATCCTGGACTTGGCCGTGAACCCCAGACTTCAACACCCCCCAACTTATAAAAGCCACGTCAAAACGTACATCGTACGCACTCATGGAACCTGACACTCTCTCCCCTGAAAGCTAGAACTCTGAAGCATCTCATCGCTCCTTCAGGCGTAACAGCTTTCTCGAAGTGTCCCGGCAAAGATGGGTTCTTGGTAAGGAATTTAACTTATGTTTTTTTAGCACTCGCTCTCGGCAAAGCAGGCGAGGTGTTGGGTGAACACTACGACCATAATAGGGATCTATAATGAATAATTAGGCGCCTCCTTGTTGTGGTTGACAAGACCCCACAAACGCAAACAAAGAGCTAGATCAAGAGTTGGGGCTTGAACCAACCTGCAATCCGAAAACTTTCAACCCTAATTCCGAAACCCTAAACGCCGACCCGTTTCGGCGTCGAGATCTGCGCTTTGAGCTTTGAAGTTCGCGGCTTTGTTCGGAAGGTTTGCGCCCTCAGCGCATGCAATGGAAGCTCCCAACCATGGCTCCAAACCCGAATTCCAACCTTAAATCACCATAATCTACGTTTTGTAGGTTCTCACGATGAACCCTAATATGTAGAATTGAGAGTGGCCCTACAAAAGTAGCTTTGGGCAAATTTGGTAGGTTCGGCAGGGCCGCTTAATCTCCAGACGGCCTTCTTGAAGTCACGAAGCAAGCGGCGTTGTGCATTCCTCGAGCACTTATGCTTAGAGTCTACATGTAGCATAGATTGGGTACATTAATAGAACCTTATTACAACGTAAACCTGGGTTGTAAACCCGAGAACAAGAGGACACAACTTGAGAAACCTCACAAAGACTGTGCTTTTCTCAATGAGGTCCAATGTTGGGCTTACGTTCCATGGGATTCGCAATCTCTACTTGGAGGGGCAGGGGACTTAGTAAGTCGTTTCTAAGTAGGGTTATAATTGGGGTAACTCGATTTAGGGCACTTATAACTTTACTTATAACCTACTTACTAAGTCCCCTGCCCCTCCAAGTAGACTACTCCAAACCCTGAGACAACAACTAAAAAGCCGTAAGCTGTCTGCTGCCGCCCTGAGGGTCCAGACACCTACCACTATGGGCTATTCGACCCTAAAGATCCCTATTAGGATCCTATTAAGGGTAGATTAAGGTACCCATAAGGTCTAATAGCCCATAGTGGTAGGGTCCATGCACTCCCAAATTAAACTAGAGGTGCAACTATCCTGACGTTCTGGATTATTGGGTGGTGGGGCCCTTCGTTCTGCATGCACGAAAACACCCTAAACCCTAACCTCAGCCTCAGAATGCCTGAACCTGGGTTTAGTCTCCCGGCCCCTTCTGGATTTTTTTGCAGAACCTTTTTAGAATCCTCCATAAGCCCCGTTAAGGCCTTAAAGCCGAACCTGTTTAGAAATCCTTCATCAGCCCCCTTGAGGCCTTGAAAACCCACGCTCGTGGAACCCTCAATAAGGGAGTTTCCGAAAATTAGGGATACCCTATTTGGGGGCCCTTGTAATAAGGATCTTACTATTTAGGGTACTGTATCAGGGTCCCTATTTTCGGAAACTGCCATGATGCTTTGGGCTCAGACCAAGGGCTGAAGCTCTGGGAATATGCCGACATCTTGTGGCTCTGTCTACTCGTCGGGTATCATTTAGGTAGTGCCCCCATGCAGTAAGAGTCTATAATAGGGCTACTATTAAGCTCCCAATATATCTATATTATGAATATTATTCAACTATTACTGAGTGCGGGCCGTACCCAAGGTATCATGGGGAACTAAAGGTTAACCTTTTTGGGTCATATAGGGGTTATATAGGGACTATAGTACCCAAAAAGGGTTAAAGGGTACCTACTCGACTACTAGGTCTGTTCAGGGATTAGGGCTTAGGGGGTCAGGGCTCAGGGTTTGGGGGTTTAGGGATATTTAGATTAGAAGGCTCATGGGGTTTAGTCTGGGGTTTAGGCCGGCCAAATTCAAACCCCATAATACTACCCGTAGTCTCCATTGTAGTTCCTTTTTTGGTTAACCAGTTTTATGGCTAGGACCCTATAATAGAGATTTTGGTTAACCAAAAAAGGAACTACAATAGAGACTATAGGTAGTTGTTGAGTCCTTGGCTCTAAGAACTCAACCTGTTGGTCACGGTAGGGTTGCAAGACTCAAAGGGTTAAAGGTCACCTTGCTGAGCTATCGAGATCTCGACAAGTTCACTTCCGGTGGTAGCATGTGGTAGCCAACACGACGTGGGGGCTTTGCGAATTCGAGGATCTGCGGCATGGCCCTTCTGGGTTCAGGATTCGCTTTTTTCGCCCCCTCGGGGTTTTGAGGGTCTAGGGTTCGGGGTTTAGGGGTTGAGAAAGGTTGAAGATGCTCTGGAATTCAAGACTCTTCTTACTTCTTGCGCTTTTCCAACCCTAGCAGACTCCTACTCTTTCTGACCACCTCCAACAACTTTCAGATTTCTTTGAGACTGTGTTCCAGGATTACAGGCCCCCTGAGAGTGGCAGTGGCATCACAAGAAAGCTTGGCAACTAGTCCAGAATACTCAAGGGCGCACATTCCCACATCCGGGGGCCTTAAACCCCGAACTCCGAAACCGAAACCTCGGAGTCTGGAGTGATGGGTTTCACGCTTCTTATTCTACAGCCCTTATATTTGTGGGCGGGCAGCGGCGGCGTCGTCATGACGGTGGCACGGGCACTGTGACGCCCTGAGTCAACCCACCTAAGTCTTAATGGCCCCAAGAACCAACAAGGGTCTAGGGGTGTATAAGACGGTACGTATGCAGGGACCGGAAATTCCTAATAAACCGTTGTAAGGCATCATTGAAAACCTTTAGGTATAGACTTTAGAGGTCCCATACAGATTAGGAACTCTTCAAACCCATATTGTACCACTATGGGCTATTAGACCTTATGGGTACCTTAAAGCCTTAATCTACCCTTAATAGGGTCCTAATAGGGATCTTTAGGGTCGAATAGCCCATAGTGGTAGGTTGTGGTCAGGGATATGGTCCTTGCACGATTTATACTTTTTCAAGTTAATATGGAGCCATGACATGCAGAGTTTCGGGCTTGAGTTTAGTTTTGAGTCATCATTATAGCCATGACTTGGCTAAACAGCGAGGTGCAATGTGACCAATAGCAGCGCGGAGGAGGACCACAAGAATCAAGGATGCCAACATCGACAGACAAATTGCAGCATCAAAACCAAACTGCAGAGAGTCATAGCAGAACCTTCGTCTCTCAACGCGGCAGTTCCTGCTTACTGCACCCTACGTGTGCACCCAAACCAATCTTTGCTTGACCTTGCCGTGACCTTACGACAGAAAACTGTTCAGGTTTGAGAAAACTCCGCTAAGTGAAAAGTAATTTACGTAATGATCTGCCGTGTTCGAATACCTGACTAAGAGCCACAGGACCTATAAGTAAAGCAAGAACGACACAGGCTATAACCCCAAAAGGGTATCGGTGCCGGCGCATTTGCAGCTAAGGTTTAGAGCTCACAAGCACTGCCACCCCGGCCTGGGCTAATGGTCCGAAGAGACTGAGCGTGGAACACTGGAACGGCTACCTCTAAATCAGCCTAGGGCACCGGTTGCTATGCGTGTCCTCAGAACTTAACCTTGTAACCGCAAGTAACAGTAACTACCACCAAACTCCTCAACTTCTACAAGCTTGGGCCACCTCTAGCTCGTGAACCTCACTGATCTCAAAGGCTTGGCCTACGCCCTCAAAGCGTGAAGTCCTGAACCCCGAACCCTGCACACGTATCCTTCAATCGTGCTACGCTGATGCAGCTGAAGACCTGTGAGCCGAAAAATGCGGTCGTAGTCGTAGCAGTAGCAGTGGCAGTGGTCGTGGCAGTGGCAGTGGTTAGTGGCAGTGGTAGTCGTAGTGGTCGCGGTAGTGGTACTGGTGGTATTAGTAGTAGTCGTCGTAGTCGTCGTCGTAGCTGTCGTAGTAGCCGTGGCTGTTGCTGTTGCTGCTGGTGCTGATGCTGCTGTTGTTGCTGTTGATATGCTGTCGTCGTAGCTGTTGCTGTTGTTGTTGCTGTTGTTGTTGATGATGCTGTTGCCGTTGTTGCTGCTGCGGTTGATGCTGATGTTGCTGTTGTTGTTGCTGTTGCTGCTGTTGCCGTTGCCGTTGCCGTTGATGTTGTTACTGTTGCTGTTGTTGCTGTTGTTGATGTTGTTGTTGTTGTTGTTGTTGTTGTTGTTGTTGTTGTTGTTGTTGTTGTTGTTGTTGTTGTTGTTGTTGTTGTTGTTTCTGTTAGATTTTTGGTTGCTGTTGACAGATGATGATGATGATGATGATGATGTTGCTGTTGCTGTTGCTCGTGTTGTTGTTGGCATTTTTGTTGCTGCTGTGGTGGTCGTTGTTGTTTTGATGCTGTTGTTACTGCGCCTGTCGCTGTTGTTTCTGTTTCTGTTATTGCTGTTGTTGTTGCTGTCGTCGTTGTTGTTGTTGTTCTTCTTCTTCTCCTTGATGTTGCTGTTGTTGGTGTTGTTGTTGCTGTTGTTGTTGTTGTTGCTGTTGCTGTTGGCATTATGTTGCTGTTGTGGTGGTCGTTGTTGATGCTGTTGCTGTTGTTGCTGCTTTTGCTGTTGCTGCTGTTGGTGTTGCAGTTGCTGTTGCTGTTGCTTCTGCTCCTGCTCTTGCTGTTGATGCTGCTGTCGCTGTGATTGTTGTTGTTGGCATCTCTGTTGCGGTTGTAGTGGTTGTTGTTGGTGCTGTGGCAACGGTAGTGGTGGTGGTGGTGGTGGTGGTGGTGGTGGTGGTGGTGGTGGTGGTGGCGGTGGTGGTGGTGGTGGTCCTAGTAGTAACACTATTATAGTAGTAGTAGTAGTAGTAGTCGTCGTCGTCGTCGTCGTCGTAGTAGGAGTAGGAGTAGGGGTAGGGGTAGTGGAAGTAGTAGTAGTAGTAGTAGTAGTAGTAGTAGTAGTAGTAGTAGTAGTAGTAGTAGTAGTAGTAGTAGTAGTAGTGGTAGTAAGACAGTGGTATTCGTCGTAAGTCGCCGTCGTAGTTTTAGGCTTTGTCGTAGTGTGGTAACGGTGGTAACAACTGGTAGTAGTAGCCATCGTTGTAGTGGTAGCAGCACGGCGCTTCTCTTCGGTCACCGCATGTGGTTTGGGCAAGGGTTTTCATTTCGAGGTTCGGGCGTGCTCAAACTACCATGCATCTCTGGGACTCTTGAGAACTACCGCCCGAACTTCATACCGTTCATGGATTTGGGCTTCGGTGCACTTGCAAACCTATATACAGCAGAATGTAAGGTTCCACAATTGGGAATATGATTCGGGGAAGTATACCCCACAACAGTACCTAGGTTGGACATCTATGGACCTCTAGGACCCTTTGGGTAACCGAAGGTATCGAAGCCTGAAAGCCTGACAACCTAGGCTGCAAGCATCCATTGTAGCGAGGTTAGTGCCTCGGGTTGTGAGCCATCTTCCTCTAGAAAAGCCCTAAATAAAGCCTTAACCATGTACCGCCCGCAGCCCGAACACGTTATAAACCCCACCAGTGACGATTTGAACCGGAAATCTTATCCGTCCCTTCGAACACTTTGTCCGTCCTAATCTCGGCACATCGGTTTCCTGGTTGTAGTTCTGATATACCCAAGGCACTCGTTTTACAGCAGTTCTCCATTGGAGCTTAGGGCTCTACCGCTCTACTGTACCACGTCCAAGCTCAGGTGGTAAAGGATCCCGATATCGACATCAATTCAGTGGGCTCCGCACTTGCAATTCCTTCGCATCCAACAGTCATAGAAAGCCCTTCCATGTGCGCCGGGGCACTGCGCGGCCGTTGAAGTAGGATCGGTGTCCCGAAGTTACGCGAGCATGGTATTCGTCATACCAAATGCCAAACACGATCATCAGAACCTCTTACGGTCACAAAACATCATGACCCATCTCGACGGACAAATCCCAAATCGCAACCCCTGCGGGGCTGCACTGGCACATATCTTCAGCAGTCCGAACGGGGTTCAGGGTTTAGGGGTTTATCGTTTCGCTTGAGGTTTTCGGAACCTTCGCCCTCAGCGACATGATGGCACACGTCGCCAAGCTTAAGCAAAGCTTCCTCTTGGAGTTGTCAAGGTCTGCTGAAGTCGCCGCCAGCTAACAGTTGGCCAACCCAAGCAGCAAAGGGCAGGCGGCGACGGCTGGGGGTTTCTGTTGAGACTCAGCTCTCTTTTCGTCCTAGGTCCTTTTCGTCGCCTGCGCTTGCGATCGGACGCACAGCGGCGGGACCAGGGTGGGTTCAACATCAAGGACTCAAGTCCCAAGTGCTTCTGGAGCCATTGGGGTATGGACGCAGCAAAACTCGGGCAACGAAACAGCCATCACCTTCGCAGAATCCCTGCGGGCAACTAGTATCCCGAATCTCAAGCCCTAAAGCCCCAATCGAAAAAGGGCACGGAAAGATCGGAGCTCCTGCTTGGAAAGAGCTTTGAGCCATCTGTGCAGGTTCAAGTAGCTTTGAGAGACTGGAGGAAACGCGCCAAGGCACAAGAAGTGCTGCATCATCTTTGACCTCTCTCCGTTTGCCCCCTGGCTTCAACAAGCTACGTCCCAGGTTCCTATAAAGTCCCCTTAGTAGTCTAGGGTCCCACATTAGGGGATTACTTTCTAGATCCTCCCGGGGGTCTGGGGTGGCGAAAGTATGCGCTCCACACCGACTGCCCCAAGCAAGAAGTTGTCTGCAGCAACACTTGCTACTCTCAGCTGGAAGCACCGGTAACTGAACGCACTATGTTAAAGGGCATATATGGTGTAGCACTGTCGGGCGTCCTGAAAACTATCGTTTGGGAAGCTCGACTTTATTGACCGCCAGAGCTGTGAAAAAAAAATGCACCCTAAGCTCGGGATGATGGCTTCCTGAATATTTAGGGACCGTCGCTAGGAAGCTCATCAGGACGAGCTTCGCAGGCTCACGAAGAGAAGAACTTCAAAAGAACAACGGACATGAGGAATCCACAACGTAAAATGTTGCCGCCCCTTCTGCCCCAGGCTGCTTCTGCTGCTTGCGCTTTAGGGTTTGGGGGTTTAGGGTAGATAGGGTTTAGGCTTTCATTGAAGAGGAATCAGGAGAAGAGCCCTAAACCCTAAAGGCCCTACAGTCTCTCAGGCAAGACGATGCAAGCGGCTGTAGATGTCTTCAATTGCCATGCCTTGAAGTTTCGGCTAGAAGAAGCGAAGCGTCGCAGTTACACCTTCAAGGAATCGTCTGAGGCACACAAGAAGGAATCTTGGGAAACAGACGATGATGACTCCGAAAGCTCGGAGGACAGGCCACTCGAAGTGCTGAGTTCATTCGCGCATGTATCCTTTCTCATGCCTGAACCCAGCAGATGCCTTGAGCCAGAGCCCTCGGTAGCGCACATCAAAGCGTGCGGTATCTAGAGGAATGACATCAGGAACCGGCAGCAGCAGCCCGGATCAGAGGATGAGATACAGGCTTCAGGCAAAGCTTGGAGTCCGACTGGCCTTGCTTACCACCCTGGAGCTCTTCGCGCCACCGTACAAGTTGAAGCAATGAAGCAGCTGCCCGGAGTGTGAACACCAGATGGTTGGCAAGCGGAGGAGCAGTTCGAACTCTTGACGCGCAGTACATCGGCAGGGAAGAACCCAATCCCCCGGGAGGATTTGGAAAGTAGATCCCCTAATTTGGAGCCCTACACTACTAAGGGTACTTTATAGGAACCCCCATTAAGGGATCTACTTTTTGGATCCTCCCGGGGGTCTGGGAAATGAACAAAGCAGAGCCAAAGATGGTTCCGGGCAGAAAGGGCGTCGCTGCCAGGATGCGGCCGAGAAGGCAAAGACAAGTGACGGAAGCGAACTATGTGAAAACCCTAAACCCGCAACCCTGACTAAGCACCAGGCGGTCGCACCACAAGGCTCAGGCAAACTCACGAAACGTGGCAACTTAACAAAATTGCGGGGAAAAGCTCGGAACTCGTCATCTTCCCCCTGAGAGTCTGTGACGATCCCTGGCCTCCGGAGCCCCCTTCCGGTCGACATCATCCCCATGACACAGAGGGGACCGTCAACACACAGCATGCTCTGACACTCTCTTGATGTGCGGTATAAATGGGATCCCCAACTACTACAGCATGTAAGAGAAGGGGGGCTTATTAAAGCTTTGAAGCTTTGCGCTTGTTCCAAGAAGAGCCGAACAGAGGGGGCATCAGAGACATGCCGTCTGTCTCTTGATTGCGTGCAGCCTGTAATTATGATAAGTATGCCTGTTTACAAATTCTTGCTATCAGATTTCGAGGTCTTGCAGTGGCTGCCGGGCTATGTCGATGCATCGGCAAGCTTGCAACACCAAGCACGAGCAAGCAAGGATCACGACAGGTGCTCTGCCCCAAGCGCACCCGACGAATCTACGCATCCGGCATGTGCAAAGATCTTTTCGGAACCCATGCCGGCCAGGAGCAACTGCAAACGCCCACACATCGGAAGAGATAGCATCCAAAGTGACCTATCAGCTGGTCCGGATCGCGGGAGGTGGCGTGCACTGCTTCATCTCATCTTCGATAGCTGTTCGGAAGATCCGGCCCGGCTAGAAAAACGG